GTAATTTACATCATTAATAATCAAACCATATAATTTATAACTCGTATTGATAAATAAATAAATGAATAATTAATAATAAATAATTTCATGTTTCAAACAATTAATAAGTGAATGATATTTTAATTTTTTTATTATTAAAATTATTTTTACTTCATTTATTTTTTAATTGAATTGAAGTTTTAAATTTTTTTAAAATTTATTATCAATTAAATTACATTTATAATCTTTAGTTGAAATTTTGTTCAGGCAAATGCATCCGATCATTTATTGAATGTGACCCCACCATTCTCCATTATTAGCCCTGTTTGTCATCATTTCCCCAATCATTGAACAAAAATAAAATAATTTACCCTACATGGAGAGAGTGTTGAAAGAATAAGAACAAAATCTCAAAATAAAAAATTATAAATATTAATTTAAATAATTACAAACATAAATTTTAATTATAATTTAAAACTTAAATATTTTATTTATAATTAAAATTATTAAATTTATAACTTTTTAATTAATATTTATAATTAATTTTAAAAGAAATTTGTCAGAATCTTGAATGTCATAAAATTATTATTTTAAAAATTTAATGTCATTTTTTCTAAAATTTTAAAGCCTATTCTTTAGTCTCTAGTTCTATTCATAAATTATGTTCAAATTTTTGTGTTCGTGTATCAACTTCAAAATAAGAGCAAAAATTAAACATCAAGCGCCGCGTCAAACAATTAATATTTTCCCCCCAAAACAAGCCCTTTAACGTTCATAGTTAGATCGACAATTTGACTAACCCACCGAAACCTGCTGAATTTTTTAAATCCACGTAAATATACATGCATTTTAATACATTAATTTAATCTCCCCACAGGAAAAAACAATAAACTGAATGTAGTAAAAAAAAAATGTTTCCACAGATTGATTTCCAGAAATTCCTCGATGTGATGATGGCTCTCAAAATAGTGCAAGTTAGTCAAACTTAATGATGAAGTTAGTGGGAGCTCTCATGGTATCAAATCAAATATTGCAGGGAAAGAAAGCATGTTTTAGAACTTAAGGTGTCTTTTGTAAATAAAAATTTCTGGGAAAATTAATCCTTTGATTCAAATTTTAACTCAATTAAAATTCAGCTTCTTAACATTTGAACTCACACAATCCAGTCCCTATAATTTGAATTAGCTAAAACTTAGTTTATAAATTTCGATTCAATCTCCATATTTTAGAAAACAACTTCAGTCCTTCAACTCAGTCTCTACATTTTAGAAAATAAAATTTAAACACTAAATTTATTTTTTAAATAATGTAGGGACAAAAGTTTTAAATGGTTAATTAAAATTATTGATTTTAATTAAAATTAAAATATTCATTTTCAACTGAATTAATTAAACTACATGGATTAAGTTTTATTGAATTATTAAAAATTGAGTTATAATCAATTTAAAATTATAGAAAACGAATGATTAATTGTAAAAACAAACAAACATTTTCCTGTGCCATGGCAATATGGGATGGGCCATGAGATTCAAACAAGAATTTAGCTTATATGACATGACGTGGCTGTGTAATTAACTGTTATATGATATAATGGCTATGTATTACATATTAATATTATTTACTTAAGAAATGACTGAGAGGAGTGAAAAGAAAGTGGAGTGATTGTTAATGATATAGAAATGAATGGTGTAGTTGGTGGGAGAGTCCAAGAGAACAATGTTTGGAAAACGCGTTTTTTAGTTACAATAGCTTTTACCAAAACTATGGTTTTAGCTTTAATAGATATGTTTCCAATCACATTATTTTGCTTCCACGTATAATTAACATTGAACTTTGAAACCAAACTCCTTCTGCTGGTCAAATAAAAGAAAAGAACAGAAACTCCTTCAATATATTATTCCATTTTTGAATGAATTTCAATTTTTTTATTAGCTTCGGAACTGGTAACTCCTCTCCATCCTTTCTTCTAGTTACTGATTTTTACAGGTAATATGTAAGCATTGAATATATGTTCAATCCAACTATTAAAAAATAATAGATAAAATTTCACATTTTATCTTCTAAAATTATATCAAACTTTAATTTGGCCTTTAGTTTTTTAAAATATCTTTTTGGTCACTAAACTGTAATATTGTTAATGAGTTTTGAATAATAATTTTTTGTATCAGTCATTGTTTTAAAAAATTAAACTTAACATGTTAATCTTTAAAAGTATTTTATTAATATTTAAAAGTTCAATATCAATATTTTTTTTTGTTAATGAATTAACAATGTTAGATCTATGAAAGATATATATTTTATAAAATTAATGGATCAATCATGAAACTCATTGGGTGAAATTAAAAAAGGGGCGGTGTGCTAAAATAATATTTTATTTAAAAAACATTTAAATCGCCATAAGAAGTTTTTCTCATCTATAAGTACATAGAAAAATCACACTTAAATAACTATAAAAGTAGGTCTATTAAACAGAAAATAAAGAAAATGAATCATAGCAATAAGCAACACATGACAGAGAATGCAATTCCTTATTCACTTTGACAGAGGATATAAGAAGACTTCACATTATAAAAATCAAACTGATTATTGAACTAATTAAAATATTAATTCAATAATTAATATAAAAATTGTAATTAAATCATGATCCAATTAGTTGTAAACAGACATTTTATTAAATCAGTCAAAATAATAACTTCACAATTTAGTTGTTCAACTAGATGAATTGATTCATATTTTCATATTATACTCACACACATATATAATAATATAAAAAATATGTAAATGTATTTGATGTGGACATGTACACATGTCCAATGGCTAAAAAGAGGCAACGACATGAAAACTGAGGAGTGTTTAACTTATATCTATTCTAGTTGGTCCAATTCTATCCTGATTATATCGGGATAAGACAGAAAAAAGTACGTCTCAAATATTATATATATATATATATAATTTTTTATTTTAAAAATATACATTAAATATGTTAATTATAATTTCAATGCAGGCTATTCTTATTTAAAAATAAAATTATTTTTATTGATAATTTCAATGACACAAAGTAAGCAGTGTAGGGTAATAATTTTCTTTACAATATATTAATTATATTAATATAATTTTTTTATATCTACCTATTTAATTATTTTTGTTTATATCATATTTCTTGTTTTATGTTTGAAAGGCTCACTAGCTTAACATATTTTAATTAAAGAAGAATAATAATGATTTAATGTTGTGCCAAGCTTATCTATTATTGTTGCTCTTATAGTTCAAAGATTACTTATAATTGATATCATAATGTGCTAAGTCTCACGCATACTTAACTTTAAGTTGTATATTTGTAATTATGATTGATGTAATTTAATAACCGGTGATTTATGTGCTCGTATTGCTTTAATTTTAAATTTAATAAATTATGTGATTTAAAAATTTAATTAATGAATATTATTATTCAAGCATTTCTCTTGCCTTGTCTTCTTTATCGAGACAGCAAGATGCCTCAATCCCACTTTTATTTCTAATAGAATGGGATAACTTTTAAAATGAGATAAAATAAAATTTCAATTTTTTTTTATTATGAATAAAAATTCAATCTTAATTATTTTTTGGGATAAGACACGGCCGTCCCGTGACATGAACAATCCTATGAGAGTGAATGATTCAAGAGAGAGGGAAAGAACGCGACCACGCTTCCACAGAACATGGCAAACAGAGCACGCAATCCACTGTTCTCCAATAGTGCCAGTGCATGAGTTTGGAAATTCTTGTGTGTATCTGAACTCGTCCTCATCAGTCCCTCCCTTCCACACATGTATGTGTCCCTTCATTTTTTTCCCCGGGCGCCTCAACTAATTCTTATCTCCTATACGTCTAGACTCAATCTCCAATACATAATGCTTAATTTTTATTCATATCCACTTCACATGAAATTCTTCATCTATATATCTATAAAAAAATTGTAATTATAAGTTGCCACAGTGAGTAAAGACATTTATGCTCTATTTTGATTTTTATTATCATTTTTTATTTTAAAAAATTATTTTGTAATACAATTTTTAAAATTTTAATAATAGATTGATAGTAATGATTGCAGATGGTTAATAATAGTGATTTATGATATAAACTGATCAAGCTAACTATATTTTTTAATAATCAGATGTAATGTATTTTTGAAATAGGAAAAATAAAATAAAAATAACTTTAAGATATTTTTTTTAAAAAAAATAAAAAATGAGAACAGTTTTAAAAATAATTAAATCCAAAACACTTATCCAAATATATTTTTTAAAAACAAAAAATAATTTTTAAAATAGAAACCAAACATGCCCAAAATAAAACTGTATTCTGAAAAGAAAACAAGAGAGTATTACTTTACAGCATAAGGCAAAACACTTTCACAATTTTTTTCTGAAAAAAAAAATTCTTCATACCACACATTGTCTAAATTTTCATGCAAATTAAATGCACATCACCTGTATATTCAAATTAAAATAATGCCATCTAATTTTTTTTTATAACATATCATAAACGGCACTAGACCTGATCAGTCCCATGCACTTATATATAAAGATTCAATTTTTAAAAAATAGATTGATCTAGGAAAAAACAAATAGAAATATGTCAACAAATAATAGACTAGCATTAACTTTGACAATGCTCATGCGTATTATTTTTATGAAATTCTTCTATCAATATATATTTATTGCTTGTTTGTCATGTACAGTAGAATGGAGAATCATAATGATGGGAATAATTAATAAAAAATATGCGCTGCCTTGTACCTTAAGATAAAAAAACAATAGAAATGGTTATTATCTAAAACAACAAGAAGAGACATATAATAACTATAAAAAACTTCGTCCTTTAACTAAAGGGAATATTAAATGTTGGTTATAAATAATATATTAATAAAAAGACATTGTTAATTAAAAAGTAATTTTACCAAAGGGCAGAGGACTGAAGAGGGATTTTAAAGTCTTTGTCGGTATTCCCCGCACATATAAATCAGGTCGTGAGTCATCTTTGGCTGAGCCAGAGGCCAGAGCCACAACTCACAAGCCTAGCGAAGTGGGTGCTCCCAGATCTTCCATATATACGCAAAATATACAGGCACAAAAGATCATCAGGTATAGAGAAAAATGCTAGGCCTGGGCGCACCAGATCAAGAAGTAGCCAAGAACCACTCTTCTGCTTCATCTTCATGGCGGCTTTTGTGCTGCAGAAACTGCACTTGTTGTTCAGGTTCATCAGCAGAAGCAGACAGGGAAGGTGATGGTGGCCCTGAGAAGCTTAGCAGATCATCAGCTTCAAAGAAGCCTGGGGGATGGAAGGCCATGCCTTTTATCTTAGGTCCTTAATAATGATCTGTCTCTCTTGTGTACTGCTCTATGATATATATGTATATTTCTCTTACGGTGTGTTGTTGTGTGCTTTGAGACGAGAGAGATGAATATGTGTGTGTATGCGTGCGTGCAGGGAATGAAACGTTTGAGAGGCTGGCAGTGTTTGGGTTGCTTGCCAACTTCATGGTGTACTTGACGAGAGAGCTGCATATGGAACAAGTGTTTGCTTCCAACGTTATCAACATTTGGTTTGGGATTACCAACTTTGCTCCTCTCCTCGGCGCCTTCATCTCTGACGCTTATGTCGGTCGCTTCAAGACCATTGCCTTTGCTTCCTTTGCTTCCCTTCTGGTACACACACACACACACTCTCTCTCTCTCTCACATCCATACACACGCCATACACCACACACAAACATGTACGGGTAAAAAAATTTGAATGGGTATAAATTTTTTTGCAAAACTTTGCTGCTTCTCATCTGGTATTCCCTGCCCCACCATGTGTATGTACCACACACATATATGTCCCGGTAAAAAAATATGTATATATATTTGTCTGAAATGAAAAAAATTATATATGAACAATAATTTTTTAACTATAGAGTTAAAATTGGGATAAATTTATTTATTTCTGTGTGTATATATATGTATTGTAAAATTAGAAAAAAATACTGTTATAACTGTCCAATGATAGATAAGATCAACCAAAAATGCATTATTTACATTAGTTTTATTTCTTTTTAAAATTAAACGTTTTCTTACACACTTCTTTTGACTTTGTTCATTTTTTATCTTGTGAAGGTGCAGTTCAGATTCTCACTTTATTAATATTTTGTGGGGGTAATAAAGTTAACTCGTTAGTCAATTTACAATCAAATAGTGTTGCACTTTGCTCTCTATAGTGGCAAACTTGAGAAACAGGGAAGGAAGTGTCCTTTGCATAAAGCTGTTAATTAAGGTTAAATTTGTCTAGCCAATCCTTTTAAACTCGAAAATAACTAGGATTGGGCTGTTATTTTAAAAAAAATAATAATTTGAGTTTAAAAAGGGCGACCTTTTTAAGCCCAAACCTTTTATTATTTTTTTTAAAATCATAATATAAAAAATAAAAGATTAAATATATAATTCAAAGAAATGAACATATTAAATACATTCATCCATCTCTCATTCATTTATTAAGATTTAGCTGATAATATTAGTTAATTTTAATTTTTATTGATATTAACTTTGATGTTGTTATTTGATATTAGACCTAAATATTTTAGTTTTCTTTATTGTTGTGATATAAATTGATTTAAATTTATTTTCTTAAACTTAATTTTATGTATAATAACTTTTTTATGATTATAAATATATTTTTTATAATTTTAAATTAAAAAAATTTTAAAAAATAGGACCAAGGCTCTGAGGGTTAGGGCCGGGCCTTGTAAAAGAAAACTCTGACATATAATTGAACTTATTAGGACCAGCCTATTTAAATTTTGACCCTTCAAAAGTTAATCCTAATTGATAGCTCTACCTTTGCATATCTTTGTACTCTCTGGACATGATATTTTGTGAGAATGTGGTTGACCAAGTCAACACTGCAGTTTTCTTTTTAGACCACTGAACAGCCCAGTTACTAAGTTAGTAACAGTTTTCGATTTTTGTGAGAAAAAGAAAGGTATATAAGTAATGTAAGTAAACCCAACTCATATTTATTTGTTAAAAGAAAAAACTCATAATTTTCCCAATAAAACATGGCATGAGTTTCTCTCTATTATCTTTTCTTCCCCAATACCTTTTCATTATAAATTTAAATTGTTCAAATTAAATCTATATTTTTAAAAATTATTAAATCCAAACTATCAAATTCTATTTAAACGGTCTAGATTTACAGCAATCACTCCTCTATCCCGTAAAACTATTTGCAAGTGTCTATATTATAAGGTAATTAAATTGTGCTACACAGTATGAGGACAAATTATTCAGAAATCCATCACATAAATTTCAATTTCACGTGTTCAACTTGGGCCATATCACTTTCAAGAATCTCAACCACTTCATCCTCTTTGATTTTTTCCAAATTTTTTTCTCATTCTATTTTTCCTTTCCAATTGAAAATCTTCTAAACAGGGGCTGATCACTGTGACTCTAACAGCTTGGTTACCCAACCTGCATCCTCCGCCTTGCACTCCTGAACAGCTAGCACAGAGTCAGTGTGTGAAAGCTAACAATACTCATCTGGGCGTTCTCATTCTGGGACTCTGTTTCTTAACTATAGGCTCTGCTGGTATAAGACCTTGCAGTATCCCATTTGGTGTGGACCAATTTGATCCCACCACTGATGAAGGCAAGAAAGGGATCAATAGCTTCTTCAATTGGTACTATACTACATTTACTTTGGTTTTGCTGATAACTCAGACTGTGGTGGTTTATATACAAGATTCTGTAAGCTGGGCGATAGGGTTTGGGATACCAACTCTGTGTATGTTCTTCTCAATCGTCATGTTCTTCATTGGGACGAGGATCTACGTGCATGTTAAACCAGAAGGAAGCATATTTTCTGGCATTGCTGAGGTCCTGGTGGCTGCTTACAGAAAGCGACATGTGGAGCTTCCAGGTGACAAGATCGATGGGGTTTTCTATGATCCGCCATTACAGGAGGGTTCTATTGTTTTGTCAAAACTCCCTTTAACTGATCAATTCAGGTCATACATCTCTCTCAAGGACAATTTCTTATTCTATTTGAATGGAGTGTAAAACAGAGCAAGAAATTTGATAACGTGGGCCTTACTTTATTGAACAATAATTAGAGCAGCTCCCAAGAATTTAAATAAAATAGCTTCTAGATTAATAGCAAACTTGGGAGACTAAAGTAAAACTATATCTTCTTACACTGTAGTAGTTATTTTCTCGAAGAAAAGGACTGATGAACAGAAAGTCAGACTTGCCTCAAATCATTATGTTGTAATGACATCATGGTTTCCTTTTTTTTTTGTTTTTTTTAATAGGATCTTAAACAAAGCCTGTCTGATAATGGAGGGTGAGCTGAACACAGATGGGACCAGAGTGAACCAGTGGAGACTTACCAGCATTCAGCAAGTAGAAGAAGTGAAATGCCTTGCGAGGATATTCCCAATCTGGGCTGCTGGAATCCTCAGTCTGACTTCAATGGCACAGCAAGGCACATTCACAGTATCACAAGCCTTAAAAATGAACAGGCACCTCGGACCCAAGTTCCAAATTCCAGCAGGTTCACTCGTGGTCATCTCGTTCCTCACCATAGGCCTGTGGGTCCCTTTCTACGACAGAGTCTTCGTACCTTCGCTGAGGAAAATCACCAAACAAGAAGGAGGCATAACTCTGCTTCAAAGAATCGGAATAGGCATGGTCTTCTCTATCCTCTCCATGATCGCCGCCGGTATGATCGAGAAAGTGAGAAGGGATCTAGCTAATTCCAATCCAAACCCACAGGGAATCGCTCCCATGTCAGTGATGTGGCTAGCCCCACAATTGATTCTGATGGGTCTGTGTGAGGCGTTCAATATAATCGGACAGATAGAGTTCTTTAACAGGCAATTTCCCGAACACATGAGGAGCATTGCGAATTCACTGTTCTCTTGCTCGTTCGCTGGGGCTAACTATGTGAGCACGATTCTAGTGACTGCAGTTCATCGCACCACAAGAACACAGACGCATCCCGATTGGCTCACGAATAACATCAACGATGGTAGACTGGATTATTTCTACTATCTTATTGCTGTGATCGCGGCTCTGAACTTGGTTTATTTCCTCTTCGTTGCTCGGCGATATCGATACAAGCCAACTCCAGATCTTCCTCATGACGTGGAACTAGCTCCACACAAAGGCTAGTGAAGAATTGCTTGCAGTTTGTGATATTACCGTTATGTATGTATGAGAAACCTTCAAACTTGTTTACAAGAACAAATGATTGATAATATCTAACCTATCTATCTATCTATCTATTTATGAAAATAGAATCGCAAGTTTACATTTGGAGACGTTGGTGTCTTTTAATTTCTTTTTTTTTTTATGTTTTTTGTTTCATTAAAAAATAACTAAACTATTTATCTTCCATATATATAAATATCTAAATGATGTCACGTATCAATTATTTTATAATTTATTGTTTATTTTAGAAATAAATAAAATTACCTCCTCTTACATATCTCTCCACTTTCCTAACTTAATTTTAAGATTATAATAATTAAAACAATATTAACCAAAAATTAATATTCAAATCTAATTTTATAATTAAAAAACAACTTTTTCACATATCTCTCTAGTATCCCAACTTAATTTCAAGGTTATAATAATTAAAACAATAATAGTCTAACCAAAAATTAATAACCAAATTCAATTTTATAATTAAAAATAATAAGCAAACATCTAATTTAAAAAGAATGATAAGAAAATTATATGCCCTTCATTGTTTGTCTTCCAAAAATAGGATTAAAGATATCTATATATATAAAAAATTAGAACCACAAGCAGTCTTCTAAATCTAAGCTCCACAAGAGTGCATTTTCAAAAATGCTACAATCGTAGGATATCCACATCAGTATTAATTTCTAAAAATGATTTTTTATAATAATAACAATATAATTTTTTAATAATAATAATAATAATAATAATAATAATAACAACAATGTTATTTTAAAACTTTTATAAAATGCTTCTACTTATCCTTGAATTTTCTCTCCCAGAATCTTATCCATTATTATAACTTCATAACTTCATTATCTCCCATTATGCTTCCTAACTTCTTATTTTTAATTTTAATTTCTTAATTTTAAAATCTTGTGAAAATTTTGTTAATAAACAAATTTCATATATATAACTTTCCCATCCTTGGAAAATCTCTCTATCTCCACTTGAAATTAAAATCTCTCCATTTTAAAAATTAGATTAGATTTATTAAAAAAAATTATCACACGTGGTTGAAAATCAAATCATGCTTGAAAGGATAACCACAAACTAGCTTGACGTAAACCAAACCAATTTTTCTTTTTTTCGTGTCTTCCTGCAAATTTTTCTTTTAACTTCCATGCCCAGCCACCCCACCCACGCCACTCTAATGCCTTCATCTTCTTGATATTTCCCCCCTTTTTCCACTCCTCCACTTGTAACTCAAATTACAATCCTACAAACTTCCATCTTGATTGTAACTTCTATACTCACTTGCATTCATGTGCTTCATTTGTACAAGAATCATCGAAACGAGTTTTGTCTTCTTGGTTCATTAGTATGCTGAGGTGCAATCTTTCTTCCTCTGGGATTGGGATTTTCATTTTGCACCTTTTATTTCAATGATATTAAGTAGTGTGCTTAAAATGAGGAGATTTGGCTTAACGTGTAGGAGAATCTCTTCTTGGTTTAAAACCCAATCAGGCAACATTGTTTTATTTTGCATATTTCTTTAGTCTTTCCTCTCATTCTCGCCCTCCACACTTTGACAGAGAATAGATGATCACTAACTCTTTCTATTGTATTAGATTGTTTTGGTTTTCTACAATCATTCTAAAAAATACTGTAATTTTAGAGAGCCACATAGGATTTTCTTCATCTATATTTATCGCATACAAAAGTTGGGTCACAAATCACAATAGAAAACTATGCAACTTCCATGAACCCACGTTTAGAGAGCAGTTTCAGAGTGCACTATTGTCCATTATCCATCCTCTTTGTAACTTCCTAAATTTTAATCCTTAAATTACTAAGAAATTAATCAAGTTTGATCATAGTAATTGAGTGATTTTGATATGGTGTATGGCCAAATAAGTCTAATAAATGCATTTAATTGTGTTTTCAGCTCTAATTATGGGTCCAAAGTGAAATCAGGCCACATGTAATGCCCTTACTTAAACTTTGACAAATTACCAACACTGAGATAATTAAGGGATTAAGCTTGTTAGGGATTACCAAATTTTCACAATTCATTACTAATAATCAAGTTTTCTAAATTTATGAATAAGAGACAAGTTTCAAACCATTTACCAAGAGATCCCAAGATTTTAACGTCTAAGATTCTCCCAAACACTTTCATTAAGTTCAAAACATGATTTTAACGTAATGTGGAAGCTCAAAAATCAAATAGAGCGCAAAATAAAAGTTTCAATATTGAAAACTGTGGAATTATGCAAAAAACATGATGTGGGTCGTGGCAAAAGGCGTATGCATCGTGGCTCACATACCTCTATGCCATACGCCACAGTGCATTACACGAAATATGATAGAAAATTTTTATTGTCAAAAGATAACATTGGAACAGACTTTCAATGAGTCTTAAATCTCCGTCCGACATCTGATTAAGGTAATTTTAATGTCCACACGAGACTTGCTCCAAGCTCTAGCTAATGATACAAGTTTTACACTCAAAATTATTTTTTACAAAGAGTTCGACACCCAAACCTGTTTTGTCACCTTTTCACATAAAACTCATAATAATGGTGTCCTAACTCACATACAAGTGTCAAAAGCCTATACCAATCATCCGACCACACCTAATGGACTCTAAAAGATTCATGCAATATACCACATTCAACCAAAGACTTATATAACACAAATTCACTACTCAATCCTAAAGTCATAAAAACACCAGTGGGAGGAAAAACATTGCACCAACTAATCATTTCCATTTCCAATCATCTCAAAATTACATAAAATAGCACTTGTACAAGTATTTTAGTCCTATACAAGGTTTACAACCAAAACTCTAACTCAAGGTATAAAATACATAAGTTTAATACAAGGATAATTAATGCAAGTAGCTCCTAAAATCATCATATAAATACTAGTTGGAAAATTAACAAGTTTAACACACATAAAACAAAGTAAAGAGGTATATAAATAGGATTTACAATCATTCAGTAATCAAGTTTCATTTAATATATACAGTTGTATATCAATTGAAAACAAATGCAAATAGGAAAAATCGCATAAACACAACACATGTGATGAGCATATCCATGATTTACAATACTAACAACTATATGATCGGGCCTAAGGCATATATATCCACATTAAAAGATAATGCACATCTTGGGGTTGTAATAATACCAACCATGTGCTCCTAACACATGTCGGACCACAATAATAACAATCAAATGGTTAGGTTTAAATGTATGATTAAATGCCAACCTTATACTCTTTTCTTACCTCCGATAGGAAACCAGTGGCTATCATATGGCTACGTTCTTCACGGATTAACCCAGCCTTTCACTTATAAGGAGTTACTAGATCAGAGTTAATTCACTCACTTGTGTAACACGGTTTTTACTTATTGCGAACTAAGATAGAAATCAAAAGAGAGAGAAGAGGAAAACGAAAGTTCTCGATAAAGCTTTGCTATGATTTGCTTCATAAGTAGTTTTGAAGTATTTTGGAGCTAGTAATTACTTGAGGTAAGTTCCTCAAACCCTAATATCCTTTTCTCTTCCATTTTCTTGAGGTTTTTAGTTAGGGTTTAATAATGGGAGATGATCTTCGATTAATAAAAGTTATAAGTTTGAACTCATAAACTCAAATAGAGTTAATGGAAATTGTTTAAAGTAATTAAACTTAAGGATTATTGGTTTTTTCACTTTTGGTTGGTGAATGTCATTAATATCCGAAAATGAACATTTAATTTGAAATTATAGAGATGGTTAAAGCATTAATAACAATGTAGGTACTTGATAAAGCTATGCAATGCTAAACATAGTTAATAAACTCAGTGGGTAAGCCCATGGGTTAAAAATAAGGGTGTTGGATGTTGTAAAAGTGAAAGTGTGAGAGTTGAAGTTGTGTTCTTAACAATGTTTATGAGTTTAAAATTGATTAATTATAGATTAAGCATTTTGGCACCATATTTGTCTTGGGAATCAAGCTTAAAAGCTAATTGTTGAGAAGTAAACTTTTAACTTTTTAAAAATTTGAGGTAACTGAGAAAACTTTATCTTGGATAGTTGTTTATTAATTGCATTGTAATGTAAAATGTGTATTTTGACATGTACAATTGTGATTTGTGAATGAGTACACATGTTATAAATCATGAGGTAATATATATACTTAATGTGAACTAAAGATGTGAAAGTGAATTTGACGTGAATTTCAAATTATGTTGTGGTATTAGAATGAGTAATTGATGATTGGTATGATAGATTTGACTTGTGGTTAAGTGTAATTGGTTAAAGATAATTGTGCTAAGAGTGAAAAATGGTAGATATATATGGTAAATGTGATAATGAGATTGATGCTCACTCGGGTAGCATAATATCGTGAGCCCAATGTATTAATGATGAATAAATAAAATTATAAAATGGGTAAGCATCGTACATTGCATGATTAGTTGGTAAGAGTTCGCTTAGGGAGAAGAATAATTAAAATTCATATGATATTTTTAGCTGCCTTTCGATGTACGAGGGTATAGTCTTATCTTATAGTTTTTTGAGGAACTAGAACATAGCTATCTCTGCTAATTTATCGAGGAGATTAGCTTATAATATATGACAACTCAAAGATTTAAAAGTGGGGAAAACCATGGTCCAAAAGTGAATTCTGTGATCTTTACCTGGGTTACATCTCACAATTAGTGAGTTTGGATAGTCCAGTCACATAAATAGAGCTCTATTTGATATTATAGTCCATGGTTTCAGGCGAAGGAAATAAGGAGGGTATAAGGATAGTTTAATCTAGCATATGTAATTATATGATGTGTCATATGGTTGTTTAAGTTTGTGGCAAATTGTGATAATAAATTGGGTCATTATCACATATCAGAATAAAAAACTTACATTCAATAACCATCATTAATGGAATTAATCAACCTACACATAATACATTTTTCAATATCAGGAGTGCAGGCTCCACCAAATGCAAAAATTATCTTTCTCGATATACTGACTAAGGGCAAATGATGGACCATTCTCTCACTCATTCCTACCTGTCATATCAGTTGCAATACATGTATATATATGGGTTCCTTTGATTTGCCCATTTAACGACTTACTCTTTAAGGT